ATGTCAGTACAAGTAAATATGTGGTGAAGTATTAAAGTGGCTGTAAAGCCTAAAATTCCATCACAACCCCCCTTCCCCTTCTACATACCTGAGCCTGATCTCAATCCGGCACTGTGTACGAGAGCAGTGGCTGTCACAGGCTTTGCTGAGAGCAGCGGGAGCCACTAGTTCCTGCTGCTGTCAGTCAAAACCTGTGGTGAGGAAGCGGGGATGGGTTCGAGCCTCGTGGTCTGTGTTAATGGACACAGACAGCTGGGCTCAAGATCAAGCCTGCATGTGCGCCCACTATAGGAAGCAACTTCCTATGGTGGCACACCAAGAAGAGGAGAAGCCAGGTGTGTTGGCTGGGTACCCAAGAAGAGGAGGTTCTGGGTTGCTCTTTGCAGTTCCACAGAGCAGGTACGTATAAACATGTTTGTAATGTAAAAAAAATATACGTCACAATCACTTTAATACATGTACTTTTTTGTAAAAATGGTCTTAATGTGTTTGTGATCTAAAGAAGGTAAATTGGATTCATCACACAATAAAAAAACTGATTCCTTACTATGTTGTACGTAACTGCACCTTTGTACCTTTTTCTTAAGCAGCATTTGGACATTGGAGTAAAGCAGGTTCAGTAGCTTCTATAGTAAGTTCAAGCCCAGCTCCAATAATTCATTTTTGTTTGTTTATTTATTTTGCACAAAGTAAGCTAGTGTTGGAAGTTCAGTTGGGTTTTTACTGCTTTCTCTCCCTGAACTTTTAGATTTCCTTCTACTTCCTGTCCTAGTGATATGAAGATGAAAAAATAGCAAAATGATTCTCCAGGACAGGAAAACCCAGAGAGCAATAAATCTCATTGAGGTTCTAACCTAAAACCCACCTTGTTTAAAGGTTGTTGTCTTTTGTTTTTTTGTTTGTTTTTTTTTAAATCTTTTTGTGGTCTTTGTTCTTTTTGGAGAGACATGCCATCACTTCCTCTTTCCATGACTCCTGCTCAAGGGAAAATCTCCCTAAGGCCACACTCATACCTTGTTTGGCAGCGCACCATACACGTAAACATGCACAAAAAAAATGGGCATGCCTCTTATTTAACTAAACAACACTGCAACACAGGATGTGTCTTGCGGTATGCTGCAGTACCGGTACTTTGCTTGCAACTGTAAAAATGATCAATACCATAATGCATCACATTTACCACACAATACTGCAAATCCTAAATGGAAATGGGACTTAAAGGAGACACAGAAATAAAAACATTTCCCACTTGATCCTGAACTTTTTTTTGCTTGGAGTTGGGCTATTATAGAGTACAAAGCTCATTGAAATATTATGTTGGCACAAAAGCCTTAACTTTTGTTATCATACCGTTTCCGCTTCTCTGTCATAAATGTTGAACTGCTGTACTATGTATGGGGTGGGGAGGGGTGACAACAGAACCTTAACACCCAAAAGAACAGAATTCTTGCTCCAATTTTTGTTACATTCAGAAAATCCCTTTCAAGGGTTTATTTGTAAAACATTTTTAACAAAGCTTCATCCTCCTGTACTTTGTGCGTGTCTGCAAAAGTTGTGCCTTTTTGTAGAATTTGTTAATTAATTTTTACTTTTATATGGATACATTTATTGTGACTGAATAGAGTGTGCTCAGCCATTACCCAGTTTATGCCAGTGTTCATAATAGACTGCTTTGACTGGGATAAGCCACATAAACATATTTATAATATCTGAGGTTAATGCAGGGTAAACTGCATAATCTTTTAATAACTGTTATAAATGTTAGGGCTCATTTTAAAAAGCAGCAGTATGGTAGAATAAAAATACTCTGCACATTTTATAAAGCCCAGCAATGTGCTTTACAAATGTACTTTGCATTTCACTGGTTTTGAGACTGATGGTGGTGGAAATATAAAATGTAATAAATCTCGCTCATTAAGGCTTTAAATATTGTTTAGTGATGTATTTGTTATTTCTTATTGTGCTCCTTTAATAATACCTGGTTGATTCTGCCATTTCCTGGTTGCAAACTGACCACAGAAGGTGATCCGTGGTAGCGTAGTCAGTTTGCGTCCTTCCTCATCCTATTCTGTATCTTGCATGGTCAGATTGTAGCCACGCTCCCACCCATCCCTCCTCATTTGATCGACAGCAGCTTCCCTACCAGCAGTGTTATGGAAGGGGGAAGTGATGTTTGCCGCCTGTTTCATTTCCGCGGAAACGCTGATACTCGGTGGCAAACATCACTTCAGTAAATTGCATAAATGTCCCTGAGTTGATCACACCCAGGTCTGTGATGCACTGAAGTAGGCAATCACATGTCCTGCACCAGGAATGAATAAAAAATGCATTTAAGCGCATTTTTTTTCCATTTTGTTTTGGGTTTTTTTTTGTACAACTTTAGAATTCATATATATAGGAAAACCTGACTTTACCACTACTGTAATGTTAACTGAGGGCATTGAAGAAAAAAGAAAAAAAAGCTGGGAGGAGAGCCTAGTCATGTGACCAGTGAGTCACATGCATGGCACTCCTTCAATCACAAAGCTCTCTGCGCTCCATTGGCTTTACTGACTACACACAGTGGTCTGTTTTGTGTGCTGAAGTGCAGTTTATTGGAAAGTGAATAGCCTATTCCCACTGTCAGTAATAAATAAGCCCCTTTTGTCTTTATTTTAGGAGTTTTTGGGTGCAAAATATGTGAAGAGGGTTTCAAAGCAAGGAAAAATTGTGATGTTGGCCATAGAAGGCTGCTGGAAAATACCATTGTATGTAATATGAAATTATACTTTCACTGTTCATTTCTTCTGTTGGAAAAAAGCGGAGGGGAAAAATTGTCTGTATTTCAAAGCAATTGTCAAATCTTTCCCCAATAACTAATGTTAATGCTCTGTATCGCCAACAGATGAAAGGAATACTGCTACTTTTATCCTGACTGATGAGGTTTGTGTTTTAATATATACTTTTCTTGGGAGGGATTTTCTCAAGCGTGCTTGCAAACCATCTGTTCACTCTTAAGGTCTAAACGACACAGGCAATTTTCCATTGTGCCTCTGTGATTGAAAGTCATTGCTACTGACTGATCACTGGCCATGCAATAAATTCAAGCAGGTGTGGCTAGCAAAGCAGGTCATGAGGACTAGTGATCAGTCCTAAACACAATGCTGCTGTTATTTGGAATTGAAAATTGCCAGTGTGTTCATGCCTTACACAGCAATAATTTATTCTCGGTGAAGTTTCCAAGGGATTTCTCTATTAAAATTGATTATATTTTATTATATTCATTTTTATGTAATTTGTTTTTTTTTGTTTTTTTTTTTTTTTTTTTTGGAGGTTACAATTGTTTACAGGGATTTAATTTTTTAATTTGTTTTAATTTACTGTGTGCACTACATGATTTTAATATACTACATTTATGCTATTCCATTAAACTTCTTAGAATACATTAAATTTGACCCTGTTTTGTCTGTTGCTGTTTTTTCACTATTTGCCATACTTCCTCTTTAAAATGTATGTGAGTAAACAAATAAAATATTTTAAAAGGTGTTTTTCTCTCTTGAATGTGTTACTGTTACCCTCTATTTGAAGAAACAGGTTGTCCATTTTATATCTTCTGTGCAAGCTATATGTTCATTTTATGATCTTTATTTAGGGACTTTATTAAACTTTCAGTGAAAAATCTGAAATAATTTTATCAAAGTCCAAGAAAAAGAGAGAACAAGAATAGCGGTCGCTAATGTATATGCAAATGTTTACTGTATTGGGGTACATGCACATTTGGGCTCTTGTAGGTGCCTTTCTCCTAGCTGGAGAAAAGCAGCTTCAAAAATACACTTAAGCCACGTTTTTGTAAATGCGTTTAGGAGCTTTGAGTGCTTGGATGTTTATTCCTTTCATTGACCCGAATATTAGTGTTACTAAACCCACAAGAGTAAAATCAGTCTGTATATACAGTAAAGCATGCTTGTTATACACACTGTGGAATCTACGGGGTTAATCCTCTGCATTGTGTAAAAAGGCTGTTTGATCCTGTCTTCTGTTCCCAATCCATCTGCTGATGGTAGAAAGCTCTAGGAGTCACACTGCACATGCTTGGTGTGTATGGCTAGAGATTTTTTTTTTCTTTGGGAGTGTGATCAGCACAGGACCAATCAGTTGTCCCGACAGAGTCAGGGGTTATGCAGCCTCATGGGACAGTCAGAGCAGAATGAAAAATCCTCCTACAAGCTTTAACCAGTGCTCAGCTGGACACTGATAGAAGTCACAAGACTGCTATATACTGCTGATAGGAAAAGGTATTTAGAAGTTTATATTTACTAAAATAATTGTATTTCCATGTTGTGTGTAATGTGGGAGACCAGATATAGTAAATGCAAGGTCCTGGGTTTAGTATCACTTTAATTCTGGCCATTGAAATTAAAAAACACTCAAGCAGTAAACACACCTAGCGCTTAGATGTGTTTAAACACATTTGCACATTTTTTTTTTCTGACAAATCAATCCTTTCCTGAACACACAAGTGAAGATGTTGTTTTTAATTTTTTTTTTTCTGCCTCTAATGCCTCTGCCTTTTTAATTCCTGTAACCATCTATGTGTGCATGGACACATAGGCAAATATGGAGGAGCGTTTAGAGGCAAAAAGAAAAACCTTATACAGCTTTAAAATGGGCATTTTTGAGCTGCTGTGTGCATGAAGCTAATTCTGCATTCAAGATAAAGCAGTGATTCAAATAAAGGTGTTTTTTTTTTAAATATTTTTTTTTTACACAATTGTCTTTCAGCATTGAAGCGTGTCTTTTTTTTAGTTTATATTTTAGCTGCTTCCCTGCCACCCTATAGCAGAAATACTGCTACAGGGCAGCAGAAGGTGCGCAAAACGTGATTTTGTATTTCCGGGTAGGGGGCGCATGCACCCTACCCGTGCCACCATTCACGGCTGTCAATCACCAGGTCCTGGCCAGTGATTACCCATCAGCGGCCGGTGATTACCAAGGATCTTCGACTGGGGATGAGGGTTGCTTTGTTTACTAACAGTCCTCCTCCCTGTCGGCTTGGTCCCACTGTTCTGGATGGCTGTGCACAGCAGTGTGCTTACAGTGAAGACCCAACACACCTCCTCCTAAGTAAAACACTCCTAGCATACAGTTAACCCTTTGATCGCCCCTCATGTTAACCCCTTCCTATCCAGTGCCATTAGTACAGTGTCAGTGCTTTTTTTTTTTTTTTTTTTTTTTTTTTTTTTTTTTTTAGCACTGATCACTGTAATGGTGTAACCAGGGAATGTCAGTGACACAAAGTCAGTTCCCCCCAGTGTCAGAATGCCCGCCTCAGTCCTGCTATAAGTCGCTGATCGCTGCCATTACTAGTGAAAAAAAAAATTCCAGTATATATAGCGCCGTTTGTAAATGCTATAACTTTCACATAAACCAATTAATTTACAAGTATTTGGATTGTTTTTTTTTTTTTTTTTTTTTTTTTTTTTTTTAGCAAAGACATGTAGCAGAAAACATTTTGGCCTAAATTTATGACATTTGACTTTTTTTTTTACCGGACATGTTTAATAGCAAAAAGTCAAAAATATTGTTTTTTGTTTTTTTTTTTAGCGCAAAAAATTGAAAACCGCACAGGCGATCAAATGCCACAGAAAGAAAGCTCAATTTGTGGGGAAAAAAAAGTAAATTTCATTTCGGTGCAGCATTGCATGACTGCACATTTGCCAGTTAAAGTAACACAGCGCTGTAATGCAAACAATGGCCTGGTCAGAAAGGGGGTAAATCCTCAGGAGGGCAAGTGGTTAGGTTACTAACCCTTTTTAGGCCCCTTTCACACAGGCATTCAGTCTTAATTCACCTGTCAGTTTTTCAGACAGATTCAGACTGAATCACAATGTATGTTAATGGGTGGGTGGATGTAAACGGATGATTATCTGTTTACATCTGCCTTCATCTATGTTCTGGTCTGTTGTTTTTTTTTTATTAACGGAACAACCAATGCCTAGATCAGGTGGAAAGGTTGTGGAACCATTTGTGGACGTAACCTCTGGTGGTTGTTAAAAAAAAGATTTTCCATTTTCAGTGACCATTTTCTTCTGGCTTACAGAATATCTGTTTTTGGCTTTCCAAAATCCTGCAGAAATTTTATTACTGGTAACTGGTGGTTTTCTTCTAAAACAAAAGTCAGTGTAAAATGTAGGGCAGCACCAAACATCATGGGTCTCCAAGAAGGGGTAGCCCCATCACCATAGTATAGGATATAGTGCCTTGAAAAAGTATGTATACCCTTTGAAATGTTCCACATTTTGTCATGTTACAACCAAAAACGTCAATGTATTTTATTGGGATTTTCTGTGATAGACCAACACAAAGTGGCACATAATGGTGAAATGAAAGGTAAATAATTGCTTTTCAAAATGTTTTGCAAATATCTGAAAAGTGTGACGTGCATTTGTATTCAGCCCCCTGAGTCAATACTTTGTAGAACCACCTGTTACTGCTGCAAGCCTTTTTGGGTATGTCTGTTTTTTTTTATTATTATTATTATTCAGGATTTATATAGTGCCAACAGTTTGCTCAGCACTTTAGAATATAACCGGAGACAATACAACAACAATACAGTTCAATACAAGAGGGTTAGGGTGGCTCTGCTCCTTGGAGCTTACAATCTAAGAGGGAGAAGCTAGTGGTACAAAAGGTAGTTACTGTGGGGGATGGACTAGTAGGAGGAGTAGAAGATTCCATTATTAGCTCAGGGCAGGATAGGCTTCCCTGAAGAGATAAGTTTTCAGAGATCACCTAAAAGTGAGCAGAGTAGGCGATAGTCTGATAAATTGGGGTAGAGCATTCCAGAGGATGGGGGAAGCTCTGGAGAAGTCCTGAAGACGAGCATGGGAGGAGGAGACAAGGGAGCTAGAGAGCAGGAGGTCATGCGAGGAGTGGAGAGTACGGTTTGGGTGATATTTGGAGAGAAGATTGGTGATGTAATTTGGGGCAGCATTATAAATGGCTTTATATGTTTTTGTTAATGTTTTGAATTTTATTCGTTGGGCAATGTGAAGCCAGTGGAGGGATTGGCAGATATGGAACAGTTAGTAAGGTGGATGAGTCTGGCAGCAGCATTCATGATAGAATGAAGAGGGGATAGCCTGTGATGAGGTAGGCCAGTGAGGAGGGAGTTACAATATTCAAGGCGAGAGATAACAAGGGAGTGAATAAGTTGCTTAGTACTTTCCGAGGTTAAAAACGAGCGTATCTTGGAGATGTTGCAGAGGTGAAGTCTACATGATTTGGACAGCGATTGGATTTGGGGCTGAAAGGACAGATGGAAGTCTAGGATTACACCTAGTACCCTGGCATGAGGGGAGGGACTGATGGTTGTATTATTGGTCTTGATGGAGAAGTCAGAAGAGGGGGCACGGGCTGGAGGGAATACTAAAAGCGCAGTTTTGGAAAGATTGAGTTTGAGGAAGTGGAGTGACATCCATGCCGATATGTCACTTAGTAGGTTAGTAATGCGAGAGGAGACTGAAAGGGTGAAGTGAGGAGTAGAAAGATAGATTTGTGTGTCATCAGCATAGAGATAGTACTTTAAGCCATGAGAGTTTATGACCAAGGGAGGAGGTGTAGATGGAGAAGAGAAGGGTTCCAAGGACAGAACCTTGAGGTACCCCTACAGAAAGAGGCAGTGGAGAGGAGGAGCCAGAGTTATAGGTAATGCTGAAGGAGCGCTGCGATAGGCAGGAGGAAAACCAGGAGAGAGCAGAGTCTCACAGGCCAAGAGAGTGGAGTTTTTTGAGGAGGAGGGGATGGTCAACAGTATCAAAAGCCGCAGAGAGGTCAAGTAGTAAGAGTATGGAGTAGTGGCCATTGGTTTTAGCAGTTAGTAGATCATTAGTGAGTTTTAGTAGGGCAGTTTCAGTGGAGTGAGCGAAAGCCAGAATGTAAAGGGTCAAGAAGGTTGTCAGTGAGGTAGGAGCTCAGGCGATTGTAGACTAAACGTTCTAAGAGTTTAGAGGTAAATGGGAGCAGAGAGGTGGGTCTGAAGTTGTTCAGGTTGGTGGGGTCCAGCGAGGGCTTTTTAAGTATGGGAATGATGTGTGCATGCTTTAGAGGGGTGGGGAAGGCACCGTTAGGGAGAGATTGAAGATGTGAGTGAGGGAGCATAGGATAGAAGAAGAGGGTAACTGTAGTAGTTGTGAGGGGATAGGATCAGGGGGCAGGTAGTGAGACAGACTTCTGAGGAAACCTTAGTGACCTCTTCAGTAGTAGCTAGGTCAAAAGAGGAAAGTGTTGAGGGAGGTTTAGTATAAGGTATGCCAAGTGGGATGGATGTCTGTGCAGTAGAGATGCCCCTACGAATTGCATCAACCTTGTTTTTGAAATGATTTGCAATCTCGCAAGCAGTGAGTGAGTTACTGGGTGGAGGTGAAGGTGGAGAAAGTAGAGAGTTAAAAGTAGAGAGAAGAGACGATGAGGACTGGATGACAAGCTATTGAGAGTGGCAAAGTAGGCTGGTTTGGCAGCATGGAGGGAGGAATTGTATGTTAAGAAAGCAGATTTATATAGGATGAAAGCTTGGTGTGATTTGGTTTTATGCAATATTTACTCCAGCGCACGACTATGTCTCTTAAGATTTCTGGTGTCGTCAGTCTGCCAAGGTTGTAATGGTCGAGGCCTGATGCTTTGTGTGGTTAGAGGAGCAAGTGAGTCTAATGTGGATGAAAGTGAACTGTTGTAGACAGCAGTGGCCAGGTCGTTGTTCTGCTGGAAGGTGAACTTCTGCCCCAGTCTCAAGTCTTTTTGCAGACTCTAACAGGTTTTCTTCTAAGATTGCCCTGTATTTGCCCATCAATCTTCCCATCAAATCTGACCAGCTTCCCTGTCCCTGCTGAAGAAAAGTATCCCCACAGCATTATGCTGGCACCACCATGTTTCATCGTAGGGATGATGTGTTCAGGGTGATGTGCAGTGTTTGTTTTCCGCCACACATATAAGTTCGATTTTGGTCTTCTCTGGCCAGAGAACCTTCTTCCATATGCTTGCTGTGTCCCCCACATGGCTTGTTGCAAACTGCTGATGGGAATTCTTATGGCTTTCTTCTTGCCACTCTTCCACAAAGGCCAGATTCGTGGAGTGCACGACTAATAGTTGTCCTGTGGACAGATTTTCCCACCTGAGCTGTGGATCTCTGCAGAGTTTCCATAGGCCTCCTCCAGAGTTTGCGTGGGCCTCTTGGCTGCTTCTCTGAATAATGCTGTCTTTGCCGGCCTGTCAGTTTAGGTGGACGGCCATGTCTTGATAGGTTTGCAATTGTGCCATGCTCTCTCCATTTTTGGATGATGGATTGAAAAGTGCTCTGTGAGATGTTCAAAGCTTGTGATATTTGTTTTATAACCTAACCCTGCTTTAAACTTCTTCAACTTTATCCCTGACCTGTCTGGTGTTTTGCTTGACCTTCATGATGCTGTTTGTTCAGTAATGTTCTCTAATTTAATCTGAGGGCTTATAAAACAGCTGTTTGAGAAGCCCTGAGGTTTGTTACACACAGGTGGACTCTATTTACTAATTAGTTGAATTCTGATGGCAATTGGTTCCACTAGATATTAGTTAGGGGTATCAGAGTAAAGGGGCTGAATACAAGTGCCCTCCATACTTTTCAGACATTTATTTGTAATGGTTTTAAAAACCATTCATCACTTTCTTCTACTTCACAATTATGTGCCACTTTGTGTTGGTCTATCACATAAAAACCCAATAAAATACATTTACGTTTTTGGTTGTAACATGCCAAAATGTGAAACATTTCAAGGAGTATGAATATTTTTTTAAGGCACTGTACAAGCACATATGTGATGGATATGGTAAAATGCCTATTTGGATTCTGTTGAATATATACATTTTATACATATCTACTTTTATACTTTTTCATATTTCTAAATATATCTTTTGTCTGCTGGGCTTCGTAGTCCTCCTTAACTAAAAGATGTTTGCTCAGCAATGTTTTGAACCCCTCCCGTCGAGCTGTGAAGATTTTGTAACTGCTTCTGGATATGTGAGAGAGTAAAAGAGATAATGAGCACAACCAAGCCTCAAGCATCAAGTTCCTGCACTCTTTCTGTATTTTAGCAAACCAAAATGTGCCTTTTTAGACTATGATCACATTTACATAATAATGACGTATACCCTATTGTTCTCTGTGTATAAAAGGTTAAGCACAGCCCTGCAATAAACAGAGATGAGGAAGTGGCTAAACTGAACAGTTGTCAGTGTGATCATTTTCCGGCGTGCACGTGCAATCCATTTCTCAAAATTAGGAACATCAGCAGACATCCAACCCTGAACCCGATTGTGGCTCACAACCCTTACACATGGGCTCCATACAAACTACTGAGTACCATTTTGAGTTGCTGCAATGAAATTGCAGCAAAATGGACTAGCCTGTTGCATAATTTTTTCACTTTGATTTTCAGGGTGTCTGACTTTAGTCTTCTGTAGGTTGATAATTTTCATTTCCATCAAATGATGGGAACATCCTTATGTTCCTAACACATTATTCTGTCCATATCAGTATAGATATTCAGCATGATATGTTTCCCCATTGAGATCTGATGTGTTTTCAAAGTGTTCCTTTAATTTTTTTTGAGCAGTGTATATACAGCTGGTAAAATAAGTATTGAATACGTCACCATTTTTCTCAGTAAATATATTTCTAAAGGTGCTATTGACATGAAATTTTCACCACATGTAACAACCCATGCAATCCATACATGCAAAGAAAGCAAAAAAAAATATGTTCAGAAATTAAGTTATGTGTAATGAAATTACACAGGAAAAAATTGAACAAATGAAGAAGGGAGGTGCAAAAAGGCATGGAAAGCCAAGGCACCAGCTGAAATCTATCACATTAGAACACAATGCTGCCCCTTGTAGGTACAAATTAATATCTGCTGATTCCATCTCAACTGATGGCCTATAAAAGATGTCACACAATAAAAATCTAATAATGGATAAAAGCAAATAGCTCTCAAGACCTACGCAACCTTATTGTTGCAATACATACTGATGACATTGGTTACAGAAGGATTTCTAAATGTCTGAATGTTCCAGTGAGCATTGTTGGGGCCATAATCCAGAATTGGAAATTACATAATTTCACCATAAACCAGTCATGACCAGGTGCTCCTCGCAAGATTTCTCCTAGAGGAGTGAAAAGAATTGCCAGAAGAATTGTCCAAGAGCCAATGACCACTTGTGGAGAGCCTCAAAAAGACCTAAAATTAGCAGGTACAACTGTTTCAAAGAAAACTATGTATATTTACTGAGAAAATGGTGACGTGTTCAATACTTATTTTACCTGCCGTATACCATGGTTTGTAGATGCTATAACTTTCACACAAACCAATAAATATACATGTATTGGTATTTTTTCTTTTACCAAAGACATGTAGCAGAATACATTTTGGCCTTAGTGTGTGACTAAATTTGAGTTTATTGGATATTTTTTTATAACCGTAGAAAATGTTATTTTTTTCCCCCAAATTTTCGGTCTTTTTAATTTATATCACAAAAAATAAAAATCCCAGTGGTGATCAAATACCACCAAAAGAAAGCTCTATTTGTGTGAAAAAAGGTCATAAATGTCGTTCGGGTACAGTGTTGCATGACCGCGTAATTACCAGTTGAAACAGAGCAATGCCGAATAGCAAAAAATGGCCTGGTCAGGAAGGGGGGGGGGTAAATCTTCCAGAGGGCAAGTGGTTAATTATGGCAAACACAGCTGTCCACCCTCTTCATAAACAAATACTACCTAGGATTTATTTCTTGCTGGAGGGTCCAGAATAGAACATCTAAAAAATGTAAGCTACATTTTTTTTTTTTTTAAGTTATGCTATGTGAATCAAAATGTAACGTAGCTATTAGCTCAATTTGGACTACAAAGAAGGAAATTCATTTTACAATAATCAAGCCATACACTATACATATGCACTATCCTTGATGCTATCTGCCACCATTGCATGTATAATTTTCTAGACTGCTGGAAAATCCAATTCACATTGCAAGCATTGCTTTCCAAATCCTTGAAATAATGCAACACAAGCAAATATCAGAAGCAAAACACAAATGTGGTGTTCACTGACAGTCTGTCATTCTTGCAGGGACCCACCGTTAAATTAATCCACTGCTCAAAAAAGACATGTTAGTTCACTTCCAGGTCTAGAAAATAATTTCAGTTGCCCATCACACAACCAAGTGGTTTTCACCCTGAAGAGTCTAGCCATCTGCTGTAGACAAGACCATCACATTTTGTTTTTTATTTTTAAAAATAAACCTGTTTTTATTTTCAGCATGAATGAAACCAGTCCCAATAACACACCCAAAAATATATAAATATTAAGGTTTTTTCATTGATGTTCAAACTGACTTTTGTCTTCTATCATGAACTTGTTTTTGTAACAGCACAGACATCTGGGTAGGCTATAACCCTCATTGAGAAAACACTGTTTCCAAGCTGGGCAGAAGGTCACAGATAAAAGTTCATGTTCATTTGCTCATGATAATATAGCACGGAGAAAATGGAACTGAACATCTGGACACTTGGACTGTCACATTGAACTGTAAATAATTTATGGACTGGTTTGTTTTGTATTCTCTGTTTATACTCACTCTGTAAAATTGGATTTCATGGGAGTCAGATCAATTTCTATGAAGACATCTACTCTTACACCCGATGGGTTTGGTTGGCAAATGTGACTGCAATGAGCTTTGTTGATTGCTACACATTTTAAGTGCAGTGGGAGGCACATTTGCTCAGAAAACATCCTGTTAGAGAAGATAAAGAGTCTTCACAGGCCTGAAGAGAATGACAGACAAAATGCTCTATGATTATGTACTTTCTCATCCCATGTACAGTGTATAACATCTATAAAACATTAATACTTTGCCCTTCTAATGCATTTTGTACACATACCATTTCTACTAACATATTTATAAGAAGCACTTGGCTCAATTACATAAAGAATAGTTAGGCTGCCCTGTATATAAATATATATAATACATTTTTTATTAAGTGTTGTAGACTACACGGGCCCTTTCAATTAGATGCACTTTTGATGCACTCCAATTGACGTACAATGGAAGGAGTGTTTTGGTGTGCTTTTCAAAAACTGCACCAAAGATGCAGCATATAGAACGTTTCAAAGCTTTTTTAGTACAGCCCCCAAAAGCACACCAGACGTTCAACAGCATAAGGAGCGACAGGGCAGCCCTGCAGTGAAGGTTTCTACATAATCCAGCAGTCTGCACATCACGTAACATACAGACATGTAATGTAACTAAAGCTGTAGAAAAAAGGCTTTTTTTTTCAAAACTAAATTTCAGTTTTAACCGCTTCTGCGCCACCCTATAGCAGAAATACAGGGTGGCACTGGTGCACAGAATCACGTCTGTATGTATATGATATATATATATATATATAATGTGATTTTTGTAGTTCCAGGTAGGGGGCACGCACGCACTGAGCGCACTCCCTACCCATGCCTCCATTCACGGCCTCGGCTGTCAATCGCTGGCACTCAAAGATCGTCCAATATCTCCAACGTGTATAAACAACACGGATCTCTCCCTTGTCGGCTCCTGCACACTACTTTGTATGGCTCTGCATAACAGAGCCACATAAAGCAGTGTGCTTACAGTAAAACAGCACACAGTTAACCCTTGGATCACCCCACATGTTAACTCCTTCTTTCCCAGTGCCATTAGTACAGTGTCAGTGCTTTTTATTAGTACTGATCACTGTACTGGTGTCACTGGATGTAAGTGACACCAAGTCAGTTCCCCCCAGTGTCAGAATGTTCTCCGCAGTCCTGCTATAAGTTGCTGATCGCCGACATTACTAGTAAAAAAAAAACTCTATAACTTTCACGTAAACCAATTAATTTACGTGTATTGGGATTTTTTTAGCAAAGACAGCAGAATACATTTTGGGCTAAATTTATGACGAAATTTGATTATAAAATTTTTTTACTGGACATGTTTAATACCAAAAAGTCAAAAATATAGTTTTTTTCTCTCAAAATTGTCGGTCTTTTTTTGTTTATAGCGCAAAAAATAAAAAACGCACAGGTGATCAAAAGCACCAAATGAAAACTCTATTTGTGGGAAAAAAAAGGACATAAATTTCATTTATGTACAGTGTTGCATAACCCCGCAATTGTCAGTTAAAGTAACAAAGCAAAAAATGGCCTGGTCAGGAAAGGGGGGTAAATCCTCTGGAGGGCAAATGGTTAAAGTGTCTGAAAACCTAAAATCTGTGTTTGTCATCATACCTCACTGTATGCAGCTTTCACAACCAAAATTATTTTTGTAAACCTGTTACCAAGTTTAGTTTTTGAAGCGTAACATGTTTGGTATCCAGTTACTCTGCGTAACATTATCTTTTATATTTGACAAAATATGGGTTATGCATTGTTTTTTTGCAATACAATTCAAAAAAGTGTATACCCTGTTCCAAATTATTATGCAAATTCTATTTAAGTGTCACAAAGATTAAACATTTTGTTTTTCAGTTTAACTCATGGATGGCATTGTGTGTCAGGGCTCTTTTGATCACTGAAAACAATCTCGGACACCTGTGATAATTAGATTGGCAGGTGAGCCCAATTTAAGGAAAAACTACTAAAGGAGGGTGTTCCACATTATTAAGCAGAGCATCATTTTCAAGCAATATGGGGAAGAAAAATGGTCTCTCTGCTGCCGAAAAGAGTGAAATAGTTCAATGCCTTGGACGAGGTATGAAAACATTAGATATTTCACGAAAACGTAAGCGTGATCATTGCACTATTAAGAGATTTGTGGCTGATTCAGAGCACAGACGGGTTCGTGCAGATAAAGACATATTGAGGAAGATTTCTGCCACATCCATGCATCGGATCAAGTGAGCAGCTGCTAAAAAAATACCATTACATAGCAGCAAACAGATATTTGAAGCTGCTGGTGCCTCTGGAGTCCCACGGACATCAAGGTGTAGAGTCCTCCAGAGTCTTGCAACTGTGCATAAACCTTCTATTCGGACACCACTAACCAATGCTCACAAGCAAAAACGGCTTCATTGGGCAGAAAAATACATGAAGACTAATTTTCAAACAGTCCTGTTCACTGATGAGTGCAACCCTGGATGGTCCAGATGGATGGAGTAGTGGATGGTTGGTGGACGGCCACCCTGTTCCAACAAGGCTGCGCGACGTCAGCAAGGCAGTGGTGGAGTCATGTTTGGGCCGGAATCATGGGAACAGAGCTGGTCGGCCCTTGTAGGGTCCCTGAAGGTCTAAAGATGACCTCTGCAAAGTATGTGGAGTTTATGACTGACCACTTTCTTCCCTGGTACAGAAGGAAGAATTATGCTTTCCATAATAAAATCATCTTCATGCGTGAGAATGCACCATCTCATGCTGCAAAGAATACCTCTGCATCAATGGCTGCTATGGGGATAAAAGGAGAGAAAGTCATGGTGTGGCCTCCATCCTCCCCTGACCTCAATCCTATTGAGAACCTTTGGAGCATCCTCAAGCAAAAGATCTATGAAGGTGGGAGGCAGTTTACATCCAAACAGCAGCTCTGGGAGGCTATACTGACATCTTGAAAGCAAATTCAAGCAGAAACTGTCCAAAAACTCACAAGTTCAATGGATGCAAGACTTGTGAAGCTGCTATCAAATAAGGGATCCTATGTTACAATGTAACGTGACCTGTTAAAATGTTTAAAAAGTTAAAATGTTGTTAAAAGTTTGATTGAAATAGCTTTTGATTTCAGTAAATATGCTGCAAACACAACAAATGACAATTTTCAGTTCTTTACAACCTATAAAGTGTTTTGAAACTTACTGTGCGTAATAATTTGGAACAGTGCATTGGAAGTTTTTTATGTTTAAAAAAAATACTGTTATCATTAGGAGGTTTGTTCAATAAAATTTGAATTGTACTCCTAATAGTTGATAACATGAGAATTATGCTGACTGTTATTTACATCAATTATTTAGGTAAATGAGAAAAATATCATTTGCATAATAATTTGGAACAGGGGTGTATTTCTTCCCAAAAATTATGTTTGAAAAACTGCTGCGCAAAAAACTGCACAAAACACCAATTTATTCTCTAGGGCCTCTGCCTTAAATATATAATGTTTGGGGGCTCTAAGACATTTTCTAGCAAAAAAAATACTGATTTTAAAATGTAAGCAGAAAGTGCCAGAAATGGCTTGGCGCTGAAGTGGATACAGTGTAGTATACAGCGTTGTGTTCTAGCAGTGGTACAAACATTCACAGGAAACCTTGTATTTGGACAGTGAATACAAGGCTTCCTTTGCTTGGTTGAGGTGGGGAGGCAGAAAAGATGATGATGATGTCATGATCTTCACCTCCTGGAGAAAACCTTGTTTTCATTAATAAATAAAAGGTTTTGTGTGAATAACTGAGAAGTGCTCAGACCGACTACGTCAGTCCATGATTTCTTATACACTCACTGGCCACTTTATTAGGTACACCTGTTCAAATGTTTAACAAAAATTACTTATCAGCCAATCACATGCAGCAATTTAAGCATCTAGATGTGGTGAAGATGACTTGCTTAAATTCAAACCAGGCATCAGAATGGGAAAGAAAGGGGATTTAAGTGACTTTGAACGTGGCATGGTTGTTGGCGCCAGATTGGCTGGTCTCTGTATTTCAAAAACTGCTGAGCTACTTGGATTTTTATGCACAACCATTTTTAGGGTTTACAGAGAATGGTCTGAAAAATATCCAGTGAGCAGCAGTTGTGTGGACGAAAATGCCTTGTTCAATAAATAATATAAAGTGCAGCGCTAAACCTAAAATACTATATATAATTATAAATATATAAATACGTGCTAAAAATCTGTGCAAAATATATATCTGTGCAATAAATAATACAAAGTGAAACGCTAAACCTAAAATACTATATCTAATAATAAATATATAGGTAAGTGCTAAAAATCTGTGCAAAATGTGCTAATAAAGTAAAGTGCAACACGTGTATTCCCACCGGGAATATTAAAAAGTGTTCAAAGTGATCACAATCAATAATTCAAAGTCACTCCAAATATAAATAACTCAAAATAAGTCCATATAAAAAATAGTGTCCAAAACAAGACAAAAAACTCTCAATCTTCATGCATGTGATAACAAGTGTCCACACTGGGTGAATCCAAACAATGGCTGCAGTGGCCCCTCACCTCCTTACATAGACCCCACAGGGTCAGCTTGCCTTAGATAAAATACCACTCTGATGAATCACCGGATCCTCCCCAGAATCATATACTCTCTCAGCAGCTTCCTCCTCGGTTCATATATAGACAGAAAGCTCTCATAGTGTAAAACTGTATTTATTCCTTTATATATATAATAAAAATGCCCACTCACATTTAGATCTTCAATATCAGGCTTCTATACCACATGCTATGAATGCCCTGCATGGGTATTTAATATAGGGGTTTCAAATATGGCCGCCACACCGGAAATGACGTCACCGCGCTCCCAGAATCCTCCTCACATACCGATGCGTTGCGTCACGATAGACACGTGACTTCCTCAGGGTTAACGCCCACCGAGGACCGGATTCCTTAAATAGAACTCTGGAACCCAATGGCCACTGCAGCCATTGTTTGGATTCACACAGTGTGGACACTTGTTATCACATGCATGAAGATTGAGAGTTTTTTGTCTTGTTTGGACACTATTTTTTATATGGACTTATTTTGAGTAATTTTATATTTGGAGTGATTTTGAATTATTGATTGTGATCACTTTGAACACTTTTAATATTCCCAGTGGGAATACACGTGTTGCACTTTATTTGCACATTTTGCACAGATTTTTAGCACTTATCTATATATTTAATATTATATATAGTATTTTTAGGTTTAGCGTTTCACTTTGTATTACTTATTGCACAGATATATATTTTGCACAGATTTTTAGCTTGTATTTATATATTTATTATTATATATAGTATTTTAGGTTTAGCGCTGCACTTTATATTATTTATTGTTCATTCACTCACTGTGGTAGGAGGTTAAGTGTCAGCAGCTTAAACGATAGGGCCCCATTTGTCACGCAGGAGGTCTGCTCTTTAGAAAATGCCTTGTTAATGTAAGAGTACAATGGGCAGACTGGACTGCGACATTCAGATGGAAGGGTCAGAATTTTGCATAAACAACATGAAAGCATGGATCCATCCTGCCTTGTATCAATGGTTTAGGCTGGTGGTGTTGGTGTAATGGTGTGGGGAATATTTTCTTGGCACTAGTAAGGTATACCTAATAAAGTGGCCGATGAGTGTATGTCTCATATACTCCAACCGCTCCATCTTCTTGACTCTGCTCCTGTCCACTTGGTAATTATGGTTGTTTGCTGTACATTTGCGAGTTTCAGAACCATAGTTTTGTTCATTCACAATCCAACAATAGAGAAAAATCCAACAAGGAGAATGGAAACCCTGTAGAATGGCCACAGGAAGGGTGTAGGCCAAATAAATCAAGCAAAAATGTCTGAAATACAGGCCCTGGGCATTGTAAAAATCTGGCTCTTGAGAATCTAGCACAAACTGAAATATCAGTTGTAAGTGGCTGACCCTTTAACTGTAAATAAAACAAAAGATATGGATTTCCTACATGAAGCTCCTACTTGAAAACCTGGAAAAAAGACATCTTTAAAAAATACCTGTAAACAATTCAGTTTTGCAGGTATTTTAAAAAGTTGTCCAAGATGACTGTTTTTCTGAATCATACATGGGATAATTGAAATCGTACAAGGGGGACACGGTGAAGAACGTCTGATACACTGGGTTATGCTACTGCCTTT